CCCAACATCAAAACAAACAAACAAACAAGATTCAAAGGCTATGGTGAAAATCTGCTAGCTTAGCTTAGAGAGCTTAATAGCAACAAGCTAACCTTCTCTCTTTGTTGGCATCTCTGAAAGACCCCTTTCCACTCTACCAAAAAGCTGTGCCACTCAAAATCCCTCCCTAGCAAGTCTATATCTTCCAGATGCCCTCTATTGCTCTATGATTACTTTCTGTCAACTAGTTGCTAACTCAGCCTCCTGACCCAAGGTTAGTTTTATTAACACAAATGCAAACTTGGGGTTTACAGTGTAAAGAATATCCCCCAACAGGTATCATTTTACTTCTGAAGGAGCCCAAAGTGCTGGTACCCAAGTACATCTCAGTGTACTACTTATATTTACCACTGTTGTCTGATGCTTCTGAGTGGGCAAAGGAAGTAACTAAGTCAAGAAGTGGTCAATTTGGAGATTTGAGACTTAAATGATTAGAGCATGATGGCAAAATTGGCTTGGAGATAAAGATGAGTTGTTAAAGAAGTGGAACATTATTGTGTATTTAAGACATTTTTGTGGAGAAGAAAGTTTTGAATAAGAAATGGTAGGATTAAGTGGTTGACTTTTCAGTTAGAATGTGTAGGAAAATAAGAGGAGGTTCCATATAATTAAATTAAAAAAAACCCCGCAAAGTAATGCTTAATGTAATGTTTTAGAAAGGTGAAAGTGAATCTTATTGATAGAAAATGTTGCAATTTTAAGTTGGACAATTTTTATTTATAAATTTGATATACAAAAGAATAAGGTTAGTTACTTTTGGAAGAGTTAAAGTGTTGACATATTAGCTACAAGATTAAAAAAATCTTTAACTTCTTAATGTGTGCATAGACTGTTGTGTAACTTACTTTCCTACTGCTGTGACAAAACCATGACCAAAGCAAGCTCTAAAATAAAGGGTTTAGGGCTGGAGAGATGGCTCAGAGGTTAAGAGCACTGGATGTTCTTCGAGAGGTCCAGAGTTCAATGTAGCTCACAACCATGAATAATGAGATCTGGTGCCCTCTTCTGGCCTGCAGGCATACATGCAGGCAGAACATTGTATACATAATTAATAAATAAATAAATCTTTAAAAAATAAAATAAAGGGTTTAATTGGGCTTATAATTTCAGAAGGTTAGAGTCTATGATAGTTGAGCAAAGGTATGGAAGCAGGAACAGCTGAGTGCTCACATATTGGATGCACAAACAAGAGGCACAGAGAGCTAACTCAAAATGGCATGAGTCTTTTGAATCCTTAAAGCCTTTCCCCATTGACATACCTCCTCCAGCAAGGGCACACCTGCTAGTGCTTCCAGACAGCTACCAATTGGAGACTAAATATTCAAACATATGAACCTTTGGGGCCATTCACATTCAACTCACAAGTGGGTTCAAGGTATTAGGACTGCATAAAAATGAATTGCTAAAAGGCAGATCAATAGAAAATGTAGTGAGTAATTTTGTGGGAAAGAGAGATGAAATGTGAACATTTGATTGATAGATATATTTTAATATCTCCCCCCCCTCCTTTTAGTGATAGGGTTTACTGTGTAGCCCAGAATGACCTTGAACTCATGATATTCTTGCCTAAGCCTTTTAAGTGTTGGGATTATAGGCATGCATCACCATTTCCATCTGCTGTGGTGAAAGAGAATTTAAGAACATGGTCATCATATCTGACTTGAATCAATTATACCATAATTACTATAGTAATATGATGCTTACATTGATACAGTTGCTGAGTGGTTGGGATGTGCACTTGCTCCCTGAGAGAGTATTCTTCTAAGATACTTTTTTTTTTTTTTGAGACAGGGTTTCTCTGTGTAGCTTTATGCCTTTCCTGGAATTCACAGAGCTCCCACCGCCCGGCCTGAGATACAATTTAAAAAAGATATACCATAGAAAAGAGAAATTTAATGCCAATGGAAATAAATATTGACTGGAAAATGTTGAAAAAATATCTGACAGATATGGTTCTCAAACTGTAGGTGTGTTTGTAATCATGGATCTTGTATATCGAACCTATCTTGCTTGGAATATGTGTTATAAAGTACAGTTGTAATATTTATTAAGAATAGGTAATAGACATTAAGCATCCTATCACACACTGTAATAAACATTAAAATTCAGTAGACACTGAAGATATATAATGTGAATGTCAGGTACTTTATTAGGAAATTATTTATTTTTCCTCATTCAAGATAAAAATGCATATTGACAGTTTTACTTTTAGAGAAGTTTTAACAAAATAGATCACGTGATGTTTTCAAATAGAGTTGAAATTACCACTGCCTATTTTGCTAAATAACTTTTTCAGTATGGAAGTCATGTCTAGATGGTACTTAGTCAGTTGAAAAGTGAACGTATTGTTTGAGACCGAAAAAACCAACAATAATAGTGGGCTAGAATAAGAGTAGAAAGATCTAGGCTGGGCCTGGTGGCACACGCCTTTAATCCTAGCACTTGGGAGGCAGAGGCAGGTGGATCTCTGTGAATTTGAGGCCAGCCTAGTCTACAGAGTGAGTTCCAGAATAATCATAGCTACAGCGTAAGATGCTGTCTTAACACCAAACAAAATACTCTCCCCCCCCCCCCCACTATCAACCAGCCAAATAGACAAAACAACCAAAAACAAAAGAGTAGAAAGATCAAATTTTTAAAAATCCACTCAAGGGCCATCTAGGAGGCTAAATGAGTAAAAATGCCTACTGTGAAAGCCGGACAACATGAATGAATTTACAACATGAATGAATTTCATCTCCCATGTAAGTATGAAAGAAGAAAAACAACTTCATAGAGCTGTCCTCTGGCCAGTCAACGCTGTGGCAAGCGGCAAGCATATTATCCCCACATACATCACACTATCTTAACTCCCTCTCTCTCTCTCTCCTCTCCTTCTCCCTCCCTCCCTCCCTCCCTCCCTCCCTCCCTCCCTCTCACACACACACACACACACACACACACACACACACACACACACACACACAAAGTCTTTAGGCCAGACAAGGTGGCCAAAGGCTGAGGGAGGATTGAATTTCAGGCCAGCTAAACTAAACAGCAAGACCATGCCTCAAAAGCAAAACCAAACCAAACCATGCCTGACACAAATAGAGGCACACATAGAATAGTTTGTTTTCTAAGTGTAGTGTTTATGATCATACTTTTGTTAATGTCTAGCTATTATTTCTACCATGAGGCAACAAGAACCTGAGTCTGTGTATATAATTGGGGCAGAATGAAGCAGAACACTTTAAAATTGGGATCCAAGGGCAGTAAAGAAAGACTTGTTCTACTCAAAACAATGTATCAGTGATGGTTCTTATGTTGGAGACTCCAAACCCCACTTTCTGTTTTTAGTGCTATTTAATTTCTTCATTTCATTCAGTTTTTTTCTCCAGCCGGATGAAAATGAATATTCCTTTCCTGGCCATTTTAGAACACAGCCTTCCTGTAAATATTCATGATGTTGATGTTGTATCACATGTGTTAATGAGTTTTCTAGCTTAACTCCCCCTCAACCCTCAACCCTCCACCGCTGACAGGGTTTCTGGGTAGCCCTGGCTGCCCTGGAACTAAGTGCTCTGTAGACTAGGCTGGCCTTGAAATCAGATCGATCTGCTCTGCTCTCTCCTCCCTAACCCCTCCCCCACCAGTGCTGGGATTAAAGGTATATGCCACCATTGCTTGACTTAGCTTAATTTCTAACTGAAAGCCTAGAAAGGCACAAATCGAAATCCCTAATTGATTTGTTTGTGAAATGGTAATTGAATTGACTTGTGATTTTGGGTTGAAGCAGCTTGTCAATCTTGTCATTATATTGGTGGGAACAGAGCTGTCAAAATTAACTTGAACATCTTTATATAAACATGTTAATCTCTTTATCTCCTGGGGAAAAGATGCTGGGTAGTAAAAAAGCTAGGTCCTGTGTTTTTAGATACACTATAGTATTTTGTGCTTTAGAGAGACCTAGATTTCTGCATTTGTTAAGTTTGTAAATGACTGCAAATGATTATAGAAACAGGCTTAGAGCAATTCTTAAAAACTGAGAATATGTTTCCCTATGTAAACTGCATATAACATTAGATAATAATAAATGCTATTAACCTGTAGTACTGGATATGTATATCACATTATTAGATAATAATAAATAATAATAAATGCTAGTAACCTTCTGTAGTTAACAGAAAAAGAAAGGACAACTTTCTACTATATTTTTGTCATGTGAAATATTTCTGTATTAGTTGAGAAGTTTTGTTTGCTTTTTTTTTTGAGACAAGGTTTCCCTCTGTAGCCCAGGCTGGCCCAGAACTCTTGTGTATTCTCCTACTTAAGCTTCCAGAGTATTGGGTTATTGGGCTACAGGTGTGAGCCAGTGTGCTTGGTTTATTCTTTTGAAACAGGGTCTGACTCTGAAGTCTAGGCTTGCCTTGAACTCCGGGTAGTCTTCTTTTTTTTTTTTAACCTCTCCAGTGCTGGGATAATAGGTGTGAGCCACCACACTGGATATCTGATGAGTTCTTAATAAACCTCATATGAGACTTAACATGAAACTGAAAGTCTTTCAGGTTGATTCTAGAGAGACCTTATATTAAAGAAATCACCTAATTATCTTAAATCAAGGCTAATTTTATAACTTCCTTATTAAGTAGCCACATAAATAGTTGATGCTCTTATTTAGGTGACAAGATGTAAGAAAGAAAAAAATATAAATAATATAATCAGGAAATGACATTTCTTTGAGAAATTATAATTGTAAAATATGTTTTAAACACCTTTTTCATTATTGGTAACTATTGGGAAAGCTTTTTTTCCAGTCTCATTATGAGATAAATACAAAATAAATGATTATCATTAGTGATGTGATTTATATAATCTGTGCTAGAGTTTTTCTTTGTAATAAAATGCCTTTTCACCCAAAAGGCAAAGATAGCACATTATAACTCCAAGGAAATTTTATATTAAAAAACTCAATTTCTTTGGCCTAAATTTGACTTTCATTTAATCCGAAATAACAAGGAAATTAACAATCAGTGCTGGATCCTTCTCTATTACCATATATTTCTAATAACATTATTTTAAGCATATATACTATAAACCATTGTTACTCCGATAAAAACAGGAAGTGAATTGAGAACTGTATTTCTAATGAACAAATGTTCATATGTCATTTAGTTAGGAAATTACTTGTATAACTTGAACTTTCTCTATATGTAAATCTTCTGAATATGTTTTAGGAAACTTGTAAATAAACAGTAAATTTAGATGACATTCCAATTACAACATTAAATAGTAAGATCTTCAAGTAAGAATGTCCAAAACATACTGCTGTTTTGTACTGAAGTTATTCTCTGAAGATTAAAAGCTCTGCCTGTTTGGAGGAGTTGGTGACTATGTACTACTGAAGTTCTATTTTCCTTCTAAACGTTCCTTTACTAATTTTTCCAAAGAGAAGAGATGCTCATCTGCATCTTCTGGCACAAGTTTCCTAATAGAATCTGCAAGTTCAAAAAGATATTCTGTGTTTCTTCCACTTGGGCCAGCTGCATTAAAAATCTGCTCAGCAATGTCTTCCAGAGGTGCAGGACCAAGGTAGTTAGGATTGTCACACGTTCCAATGTAGAGCAAAACACTGAATGGTTTTCTTGTGGGATCCTTTGGATAAAAAATGACTGTTGTAGTTCTGTAGCCTCCTTTCTCTCTGAAGTCAAGGTATGTTTTTACTTCCTCTTCTTTTCCTACTGGTAGTTTGTAAGCAACACCCCATACACTGCCCTGTTGAAAAATGAAAAGAATACACTGTTTTGTATTTATAAGGCTGTGAAAGTAGTTTAAGATACGTTATGACCTAGGATATTTTGTAGCCATGGAAGTCAATGCAGTTTTGTTTCCATGTGCCTCAAAGGGGTAGACAGTAAACAATTTAGGAAAACAGCATTTAAAACCTTTATTCTGAATAAGTAATTGATTTGTTTCAAACACAGAATGACAGGTCTCTTCCATCAAATTTTTATATTAGGTATTATTTTTAAACTAGTATCAAGTGTTTGCTGGTCATTAAGAAATTCTGTGGAAGGAAAGTGCCATTTGTTGTCTAGGAGTTACAGTTGCTGGTTTGAGTATAAGGTACTTTTAGATGCCTCTCCCACTATAAATTGCTGGAAGCGTTTTGTAATCCATACTATAATTAATGCTTCTTTATTTTTATTTTTTAATTTTCAGATAAAGAGCCAGGCGGTGGTGGCACACACCGTTAGTCCCAGCACTTGGGAGGCAGAGCCAGGCTGATCTCTGTGAGTTCAAGGCCAGCCTGGTTTACAGAGCGAGATCCAGGACAGGCACCAAAACTAAACAGAGAAACCCTGTCTCGAAAAAACAAACAAACAAAAAAAACCAAAAAAATTTTTTTTTTTTTTCAGATCAGGACTAGCTTTTTGAACAAGGCTGGCCTTGAACTTGTGATCTTTCTGCCTCGTCTGATTATAGGCAGATGGCACTCTTGGTGCTGCTTGAGTTTTGTTTTGTATAATTTTCTTCCCAAGTTTAAAGAAACTAGGCACTGTCCATTAAAGTTTTGAGTGCTTCAAACTCGTTTAAAAATCACAAGTACTGTTTATAAAATCAGTAAGAAGTTTTAATTTTTTTGTTGAAAAAATACTAGATTGCAGGCAAAGTTCAAGAGAGCTATAAGGATTCTATTTAATTATTAGTCATGATCTCGCTATGGGGAGTCTGAACCGATTATTATGAAAGAGGATCACAAAATTCTCATCTACCAAACTCACTTAGAAAAGTTGTAAGGGGCTGGAGAGATGGCTCAGTGGGTAAGAGCACTGGCTGCTCTATGGGAGGACCTGGGTTCAATCCCAGCACCCACATGACAGCTTCCAACTGTCTGTAATTCAAGTTCTGCACTCACAAAGAAAAGTTGTAAAAAGTAGATTACATATCACTTGGTTGTATTTTGTTGTTACCGTGTGTTCTAATTGTAACTTTCTCTCTAGATTCATTTTCCACAAACACTAAAAAACAGAAAACAAAAACAAAAACAAAAAACCCTCCACAACAAATACAGAAAAGCAGCCAGCAGTGGTGGCACATGCCTTTAATCCCAGTACTTAGAAGGCAGAGGCAGGCAGATCTCTGAGTTCAAGGCCAGCCTGGTCTACAAAGTGAGTTTCAGGACAGTCAGGGCTACACAGAAAAACCCTGTCTCTAACCCCCCCCCCAAAAAAACTAAACAAACAAACAAACAAACAAAAAAACAAAACTAAACAAACTAACAACTAACCCCCCACCCCCAACTAAACAAACAAAAACCAGAAAGCAAATACAGAAAATAGTTCTAGACTTAGTTTAATTCAAATTTTCTATGATTAACAATAAAATTTCACTGATCATTAAAACATAGAAAGCTAACATTTTATTTAAGACTGTGTAAAAAATAAGCATACCATACCCCAGGATCTTCAACAAGAGTCACAACTCTTCCAGGCTGTTTTGAAAAAGGTAGAAAATATTTTTTTTTTTTTCTGAATTAAAGTTCATTAAATAACTAAGCATTAGCAACTTGACATACAATAAAGTTTTACTATATCTGTCGTAAGAAGCACTTTACTTAGGGAATAGATTAAAGCAGCTGGGCCATACCCCTACTAGATCTGACTCTGTAGGTCTGGAGCCTAATAATAGGTATTTGTAACAGTATGCTTAGTGAAACTATTGGTTCATGCTTTCAGAACCACTGCTAGGCTATACTTGGGTCTCAGGTATGTATGAATGAGTGATTTTCACCTGTGGCTATGAGGTACCTTTACCTTTGTATTCATGCTAAAGGATGCTTCAAGGTAGTGTTTTTATACCTGTTGCTGGAGGGCTTCTCTCCAAGTTCCACCAAGCCCCGCAGTCCCACAATCCACATATAAAATAATCACTCAGACGCTTATATTACTTATAAACTGTATGGCTGTGGCAGGCTTCTTGCTAACTGTTCTTATATCTCAAATTAACCCATTTCTATAAATCTATACCTTGCCACGTCACTTGTGGCTTACCGGTGTCTTTACATGTTACTTATCCTGGCGGTGGCTGCAGTGTCCCTCCTTCCTGTTTCCCCAATTCTCCTCTCTCCTTGTCCCGCCTATACTTCCTGTCTGGTCACTGGCCATCAGTGTTTTATTTATACAGAGCGATATCCACAGCACTTCCCCTTTTCTTCTTCTTCTTCTTCTTCTTCTTCTTCTTCTTCTTTTTTTTTTTTAAAAAGGAAGGTTTTAACTTTAATATGGTAAAATTACATATAACAAAACAATTATCGAGCAAGAATTGCAGTTACAATATTAAAGAAGATGTCCTGTCTTATATTTGTGAGTTTAAGGTTTTATATCTAACTTATCTTTTATCATAACTGAGGAAATTACAACTATCTAGTCTTCAACCACATCAAAGGTAGTGTTTTTATACCTTCATAAATGAATGTCACATGGACTCATTGAGTGGCTAATACTAGAATCGGCATTGTTTTTGTCTATTTTTGAGACAAAGTCTCATATAGCCCAGATTGGCCTCAAACTTGCTCTGTAGCTAAGGCTCGGTTTGAACTGTCTTTCCTGCTTCTTCCTTTGAAGTGCTATGATTATAGGTGTGCACCACCATGCCTGGCTTAGAATTGGTCTATTCTTTTTTTAACTGTTCTTATATGAGACAGACTATCTGGCAGGACTATACCATCCTAAGTGCATTTTAATTAATTAAAATTGAATTAATCAATTATTCTTTTGAGATAATTTTCAGTCTGTAACCCAGGCTGTCCTGGAACTCACTATGTAGCCAGGCTTGCCTTCAATTCCTGGTGATCTTTCTGTCTCAGCCTTACCAGACTGCTGCTTGTAGCATCCCATGTAAGATGATTCAGAAAGATGACTGGAGATAGCATAGAGTCAGATTTGTAAAGCCAGAGAGCAGATTTTAGGAAATGGAGAGCTCATAGTGTTGGTAGCAGAAGTAAATACTTGCCTATCTTGGGCCTTGGGCTTTAAAAAAAATAAAAATAAAAAATGAAAATGCAGAATTTGAAGTTAGTGGAACAGTGGAAACAGGAAGTCACTGAAATGTGGGAGAAATTAGAAACTGAAACTGCAGCACTTAGGTAGTAGGTTATTGATATGATGGAAGAAGTATGTTGGGAATATCAGATTGGTAAAATGTACAATAATTACAATGGAAGGAAGAAGAAATGGAATCCAGAATGAGAAATGCCTGCAGTCAGTGTGACAAGTTCTGCATTCCAGCAGAACTTCTCTTCTGCCCAGCTCATCTAATTCTTGATAGTTTTGTCTTTTAAAATTATGTGTATGTATACTACTCCCCACTGTAAATAGTAAATATTTAAAAAACTATATGTCTGTGCCTGTGTTTGGGAGTGTGCCTATGAGGCCAGAAGTCATCAGATCTTTCTTGTAGCTGGAGTTACATACAGGCAGTTGTATGCTGCCTATTGTGGGTGCTGGGAACTGAATTTGGGTTCTCTGTAAAGAACACTATGAGCTCTTAACCTCAGAGCCATCTCTTCACCGCAGTTTGGTTCTTTTCTATCATTCAGTTATCTCTTTAGAGATTTCTCTGCCTGTCTCTTGATTTTGCTTACTCCGATTCCATTGAGAGCCAAGAACAGCTTTTTGGCTTTAAATCTTTCAAGGCTGTGATATTCTATAGAATAAAACCAAAAGTGCTTTGTTAAACTACAAACCCCATTCCTTTCCACCTTTCCCCTCAAGTTGTACTGACTTACTTAGAACTCTTATTTATAACTCTACAGACAGTTACATCTTTGAACATTTGAAAAATTGTAAGTTTTAAATGCGTTCTTTGTTAAGGGAGCAATGAAACTAAATAAAGCGGTCTTTCCTTACTTTATTTTTTTAAGACAAGGTCTTGTGTAGCTCAGGCTAGCCTGGTATTCACTATGTAGCTGAGGATGATCTAGGACTAACTTCTGATCTCCCTGCTTCTATCCTGAATATAGGAGTGAGGTTCCCCCACATCCCAGTTTATGTGGCACTAGGAATCTGCATTAACTGAGCTACAAGTTGCCCCCTCCTTTCCTGTCTTCAATTTTGAGACAAGAAAGGATCTTGCTGTGTCACCCAGGCTGACCCCAAAGTGGCAGTCCTCTTGCCTCAGCCTCCTCAGTTTAGTGATTACAACTGTGCATCACCATATGTGGTTAAGAAGAGGTCTTTCAAGCTGAATGTGATTTTAGTAAGTCACAATTGGTGTTTTTATTGGGCGATAAGGAATGATTTTTTTTTTGTTTTTTGAGACAGGGTTTCTCTGTGTAGCTTTGTGCCTTTCCTGGAACTCACTCTGTAGCCCAGGGTGGTCTCAAACTCACAGAGATCCGCCTGCCTCTGCCTCCCGAGTGCTGGGATTAAAGGCATGCGCCACCAACGCCCGGCCCAGCAAGGAATGCTTTTAATCTAGAAAAGTTAAGGATTTAGTACATGTTTACGGATATGCTGGGTGATGTAGGGTAGTTTGCTGTTTTAATTTCAGCATTTGAAAATTACTCATAATATATATTCTTTCTTTTGTATGGAAAAGAAAATAAAACAACAGGGACAGTGCTAGGAGTGTTCTGTTTGGACTAGTCTTTTAAAAATGAAAATATTTATTTATATTTATATGAGTGGTGTGGTGGTATATATTTATACTTAGAGGATTTGGGAGGTGGAGGTAGGAGTCTCAGAATTCATGGTCATGTTTGCTATATTGTGAATTCAAAGCCAGCCTGGGCTATATAAGATTCTGTATTGAACAAAATAAAACAAGTTTCCTGTTTTGCAGTTATAATATATTATATTTTGGAGACAATCTCTTTAAGTCAAATCTTTACTTTGTTGAGAAACAATCAGTTTTGTGATAAGTATATACTTAAGTAAATTTAGGAACCAGGTATGGTGGCACAGGCCTTTAATCTCAGCCCTCTGAGGGGCCAAGGAAGTTGAATCTCTTTTGAGTTTGAGGTCAGCTTGATCTACCTAGTGACTTCCAGGCTAGCCAGGAATATGTAGTGAGACTGTCTCTAAAAACAAACAAACAAACAAATAAAAATTTAGGAATAAATTCAACATACTGTTTTCTCTGCTGCTTTATGTGGAAGTAAACCTTACATCTGTATATCCGCCTTCTTATAAGACACAGCTTATGTCCTGAGTAATACCTGAGCCGTTCTGTTGCCATTTGTATTCTTGTCCAAATGGTTAACATTTAGATAAATGTAAATAAAAATATGAAGTCAAATTATGATGTTTTGCCTAGTTCTTTAACATAATACTGTACTTGGAATATATTACTAAATATTTCCTTTAATTTTCTAGGATGGATTTTTTTTTCTTTTAATGAAAGGTGTAAAACTCTTAGCCAATGCAGTTCCCTGACCTAGCTTTCCTTTCCTAAGTCTCAGTAAGTTTAAGCACAAAGAAATAGTGGCTTTTATAGATCTCTTCTCCCCTTTCTTTTTCTTTTTCTTTTCTTTTCTTTTTTTAACATTTATTTACTTTATGTGTGAGCACTGTGCCATAGCTTGTGTGTAGAGGTCAGAGGACATCTTGTAGGAGTCAGTTCTGTCCTTTACTTGATGAACCACATCACTGGCCTTGTTTATTAAAAAGACTGATGGACACCTCTTACCCCTCACCCCCAAGACAGGGTCTTACTATGTAGCTCTGGCTGTCCTGGAACTCACTATGTAGACCATGCTGGCCTTGACCTCACAGAGAACCACTTGCTTCTGCCTCCCAAGTGCTGGAATTAAAGGCATGCACCACTATGCCTGACCTCTAGCCTTACTTTTTAAAGTGATACGTAAAGCATAAAAACATGGACTTTTAAAGAACTAGTATATTGATTAGACAATTTCTTACCAGCAGTCTGCCTGGCAATACATATAAATTAATGTGTTTTGTAAGAAACATATATTTTGGTTGAGCCTAGGTAGTAAAATATGTAGTCATAACCATAAATATGACTGCTTAATGCTTGGTCATTAAAATGAAAACCTACCTTAAGGTTTTTATATATCAAAATTGATACCCAAAGGCATTTTCTTTGGTTTAATTCTTTAATGTCTTGAATATTGTTTTATAATATTCTTGAAAATTCTTTGGTTATGATGTTTCTGTTGGCCTGTAAATAAATATTTGCCTTCTGTTTGGGTTTCAATAGGCCAGGAAAGTCTACCTTAATTCTTAATTGACAAACTTGGGTTAGAATGGGTCTAACTCAGATGCTTTTCAAGATTTCAAGCCTGTATCTTTTGGGTAGGTACAAATATTTCAGAACCTTGATCTTTCCCCTTCCAAGAATCTCTTCTGATATCTGGCTTTCAGCATTTCAGAGTATTGTGCTTTAGAGTATTTTTAAAATGGTGCTGGGAATTGAACTCAGGGTCTTACATGTGCTAGGCTACTAAGCTATTGCTCCAGTCCCTTTTAAATTTCTGAGTTTGAGGTCCAGGCAGGTCTTAAACTTGTGGTCCTCTTTGGGATTACAGACCAGTAGGGTAGGCGAATTTTAAGAATGAGGTGAATGCCTTATATGACCAACTGAAAAATATATCAGACGATTTGTATTTCACATTAATCATCCAAGAGAACTATGGAGAAGGAACCATTAAAGTAATGTAGATTTTGCATTGATTATTCATAACAAACTGCACACCTCACATAACTTTGCTTATACCTCCCAATCAAAATAATCACCAATAATCACAAAATAATCGGAAATAATCTTGGAAATTAATTCTTTTATCTTCTTAAGTGTCTTTAAACTAAAACATTGCAAGGATAAACCCTAGAAATTTACAGGCACTTGTAAATTCAAACAAGTAAAAACCTGGCATAATGTAGACATATCAACGAATTTACACATTATGCGGTGACATGAAAATTAATCTTTATTAATTTTTGTGGTGAGACAGAGGTTGCCAAGACAAGGGGGCTGCCTGGCCACTTCTGCCTCGTGCGAGTTTGTGTGCCTGTGCCTTTGCATTCTGCCTAAGAAACTAACCATGGACTTTTGAACTGACCTCAGGGTGTCCATGCTCTAGAGAGAGGCGAGGGTAGGTGGCCCAGGATGTTGCTGAGAGAGTTATCCCTCCCAGTAGCTGGGCATGCGGCTGGCTCCTTACCTTGCCGGGAACCCCGCGGTGGTCAGTGCTGCCTTGCCAGAAACGCCGGCTGTAGTTTGTGATGTAACCAACCAGCTTGTCCTGGTAGGGGAAGTCCACTTTCCAGATGAGGGACCCGTAACCAAACACCCACATCTTTCTGAACCCTGACCGGTACCCCGGCGACAGAACAGGACTGCTGCTGACGCGAATAACTGGCTGCTCAAAGTGGCGCAGGCGCGCTGGCCACACCTGATATGAGGCGCAAAGCACACTGGGGTTGTGGTCCTCGGGAACCTTTTCAGAGCTTCTATGGACCCACAGATCTTTCTGCAGCCTGGGAAAGTTGAGATGCCAGACAGGGTGAGGCGGAGGAGGGGCGGGAGTCGGGGGAACTACATTACCCACAACTCTTCAGAGACTGGTGACCCTGAGGTTGGAGCCGCCCCCTCCCCCCTGTTTTTTTCCCCTAGATAGAGAGGGGAAAGGAGAAAAGGTAGGACTCCTGGCTGGTGCTGTCTTAAAAGACACACATACGGGCGCCACAGTTGGCACGTAGGCATTTTGTTGTGTTTTGAAAATTGGCTAGCTGCCCACATGTAACAGTTGCCAGAGTAGCAGAACCCGGAAGTGTAATACTTATAATGACCTTGAAAAAAAATCCTCTGTCCTTTGCCTTTCACATAGAAGCAGAAGTTTTATAACAGTGGTTTTATGGTCGTAAAAGAGCAACTAGATTCTAGTGGAAGCTGCTTACGTATTTAAATTGCCAAGAACAGTCGTGTTCATACTTAATGTTCTCTGCATCTCAGAGAAGAAGGTTGGTTTTTTACAGTATTTTTTTTTTTTTTTTACAGTTTTTACAGTACTGTGTAGAGTCCCTTTCTCAGATGAATGGGGGTATTGTTTTGTTTGTTAATGGGAAACTTGGAGGATGATATATATTCTTTACTGAACACTTGGATTGTTGAGGAGACCCCTTATATTTAGTTTCAAATGTATTGTTTCTCCTGGATTTCCTTAACTCCTAAGTTGTTTTCATTGCCTCCCCCTCCAAGTAGCGTTATTCTTGTAGAGCTATGGCAGGGCATTTTAAAATTTAGTTAAAAACACTAATAGGAAAATCTGTAGAATCACAGATGACTATTGGGAAACCTGTTTTCTTAAGTCTTCCTTTGGGCTGTGTTCTTTATATTCTTTTTATTTTATTTTTTATTTATTTTATTTTATTTTTTTTCCGAGACAGGGCTTCTCTGTGTAGCTTTGTGCCTTTCCTGGAACTCACTTGGTAGTCCAGGCTGGCCTCGAACTCACAATGATCCACCTGGCTCTGCCTCTCGAGTGCTGGGATTAAAGGTGTGCGCCACCACCGCCCAGCTTATATTCTTTTTTTTTTTAAAAGACTTATTTATTTATCATGTATACAGTATTCTGCCTACATGTATGCCTGCCATATCTCATTATAGATGGTTGTGAGCCACCAGTTGCTGGGAATTGAACTCAGAACCTCTGGAAGAGCAGCCAGTGCTCTTAAACTCTGAGCAATCTCTCCAGCCCCTGTTTTTTAGTATTCTTAAGATTATAGTGTATTATGTATTTGGATTGCTCAAATATTGAAAATTAAGTGACACACACACACACACACACACACACACACACACACACACTCACACCCTACCCCCAAAGACCAAAATGAGTTTTGTTTATGTCTTTGATTGGCATCTCACTGAAAAGCAAGCTAATGTTGCCATAAATGTTGTTACAGTGGCTTAAATAGTAAGGAAACATACCAATTCTCTCAATTTGTAGGGATTTTTAAAGCATATATTCCAGGCAAAGGTTCTTAACACTGAACTCCTGCAGGGTTTTGAAAGAAGCTGAGGAGCCAGTAACTGAAACTAGAAAATTTGGCTTGGATGTGCATTTTACTGGAGAGAAATGTGTTTCATGAATCTCTCCATGAAGTCAAGCATCCTAAGAAATACTATAGTCTGTTCATTAGTGCTATTCCTCATTGAAACCATCATGGTTCTATCTGGGGGTGTGTAAGAATAGAAACCTTAATCATTGCCCATTCGTGAGGATTTCTGTTTCTAATCTTTAGCATTATTAGAGGAGAATACTAATGCACCCAGGTTTAGAGAATATGTCTTGAAAAGCAGTCATAAGAAGCTGCTGCAAAGAAAAGACCAACTTAAGAATAATCAGGCCTTTTCATAATTTTTCTAAGTGGTGGTTTCACAATGCCTGGCATAGTTATTTTTCTTAACCTGTTTGCTATTATTTTTCTTATATACCTCCTACATTTGGAAAAATTCATATATACAGAAAAGTTTATAAAAGTGTAGTTACTATTTATATTTCATGTCATGAGTGAGCCTGTCATGAATATTTACCAACATTTAAAGCATTTGGAATAAGTTGCATGTGTTATATCACTTTTTATTGTTTATTTATTTATTTATTTTAACTGAAAAAAGTTACATTCAAGATATTCATTAATTACACTCATGGTATTAATTACATTTGTTGTATTCATTGATTACATTCGCATTATTCATTCAATAATATTTATGATATTCATTAATTACATTAATTGTATTGATTTATTACATTCATGATATTATGTCCTGATACTACTGTCCATTTGTGGGACTTTTCCATCACACAAAACAGAGATTCTGTACTTAGGAAATAATTGCTCTATATTTTTTTCTTCTCCATCTTGAGATAACATCTAATCTTTCTATCTCTATGAATTTGTATATTCTATATATTTCATGTAATACAATTCTATAGTAGGCAGAGCCAGGTGGATCTCTGTGAGTTCGAGGCCAGCCTGGGCTACCAAGTGAGCTCCAGGAAAGGCGCAAAGCTACGCAGAGAAACCCTGTCTCGAAAAACCAAAAAAAAAAAAAAAAAAAAAAAAAAAAATACAATTCTATAGTATTTGTCCTTTTTTAAAATTAATTAATTTTTCTATTATCAGCTTGATACAGTATAAATTCTTATCCTAATAGTGAAATGTTTGATTTAGGCTTACCTAGTAATTGAGTAAAACCAAAACTTATTGTAAGCCACAGTCATCCTAGGGTCCCCCCTGCTATGTAGCCTCCCTGGTTCTGTGGGTTGCAGTCTGATTGTTCTTTACTTTATATCTAGAATCCACTTATGAGTGAGTAAATACCATGTTTGTCCTTCTGAGTCTGGGTTACCTCACTCAGGATGATATTTTCTAGTTCCATCCATTTGCCTGCAAATTTTATGCTGTCATTGTTTTTCTCTGCTGAGTAGTACTCCATTGTGTATATGTACCACATTTTCTTAATCCATTCTTCAGCTGACGGGCATGTAGGTTGTTTCTAGGTTCTGGCTATTACAAATAGTGCTGCTATGAACAAAATTGAGCATGTATCTTTGTGGTTCTGAATCAGCATTCCTTGGGTATATGCCCCAAGAGTGGTATGGCTGAGTCTTGAGATAGATCGATTCCCAATTTTCTGAGAAACTGCCATACTGATTTCCACAGTGGTTGTACAAGTTTACATTCCCACCAACAGTGGAGGAGTGTTCCCTTTACTCCACATCCTCTCCAACATTGACTGTCATATGGCTTTCAATCTGTTCTACTTTGATGATACTTTACATTTTCTGTGTTGGACCACATTTATTTATCATTCCTATGAAACTGTAAACAATTTGAGATAGGATCTTTGTGAGTATATAGTCCTCATTGCCGATCATTTTTAGCTGGTGCTTAAAACATAACTGCTAATTGAATGATTGAATGTTTGTTAATAAATGTCTTCACTTACTGTAATGGACCTTTCTACCCAGTTAGATTAAATTAATTTGTAGCTGACATTGGCTGTTTTGGCTTGTTATAGAATCAACTTCTACTGTACAGTTTTATTTTAAAGGTGACCATGCATAAGTTTAAATTTACTATTGAGACTATTTTCTGCTTATTTTTAACCTCTTTCTTCAAAAAATTTATCCAAAATTTTTGGATAAATTACTTACAATATGGTTCTAGAAAGTTTTCATCAGTATTGGGCTAGATACATTGGCATTTTCTGACAAGCCTCCTCTCCCAAGGACCATTAGGAAAAATCAAAAGTGGAATGGGAATAGTACTGAGAAGGTTACTTCTTAGGAGATAACTGTTTGCCTGAGAATCCTGACTCTTAGCCCAACATATATATGCTAATAGTTTGTGAGAGTCATATACTGAGATCTTTGTGGGACTTTGATTGCCAGAGAACATGAAATGAAATGAGCTTTGAAGGGAGATGATTATGATGAGGGCAGTGATACTTGTGTACAAAGGCTGCGCTATCTGGCTATTGTTTGTTGGCTTTGTTGTATTCATTCATTCAGACACTTTGAAGGATTGAGCTCCCAAGTGTTTATCCACTTCTGGAAAGGACCAACAAGAGTAGGAAAATGAGGTTCCTTGCTTATTCTTGCTTTAATGAATAAACACTGTTCATTCCTATCTTTTTGTTTTAAAAACCTTTTCGGGTTTGTTTCCTACAGAGGGTAGTAAAATGGGATTCACAAGTGGTCATTAGTAATAGAGTCTCTGTGTTTTGGTGTGGTGTGAATAGGTAGTCCACAGGAAAGATCTGACAGATATTCCTGGAGGGAGAAAGATTGAAAGTAAAAACTACCCCGGTCATTTAAATAATATTGCTAGGAACTGACATGAGAGACGTTTAGGTTGGGCTATAGCAGAGGCTATGTGTGCCATGACAGTTTCTCCTATTTTTCTCATGTGAGATGCTAGACTGTGATGTGCTGATTTCTAGTTTAGTGTTGTTTTACTGACTAGTATTATCTTTCTGCCTTGTTTTGTAGACTGATCAAAAGGATGGATTTTACAGAGGCTTACTCAGGCACGTGCTCTACAGTTGGACTTGCTGCCAGAGCAGGCAATGTTAAAATTTTACGGAAACTGCTCAAAAAAGGTCGAAGTGTGGATGTTGCTGATAACAGGGGATGGATGCCAATTCATGAAGCAGCTTATCACAACTCTGTAGAATGTTTGCAGATGTTAATTCATACAGGTAAAGTAAATACAAGGTCTGGGAGACTGGGTATGTAAGCTGAAATAGTAAAATAAAAAGATGGTAATAAGTGATAGCATTTGTTTCCTTTTCTATAATCCTAAAATAAGTACCTCTCCTATTAAGGATGATGAGATTTCTGCCTTGGATGGCATTCCATCTAGACATCTATGAATATTGTCCTTTATATGGAAGTGTTTGTACTTTATTTACTTACTTTACATTTATTTATTTACATATTTGTAGCTAGAGTTTTCCTGCCTTGCCCACAGTCAGGACAAATCTTTGTCACCCACCAGTCCCACAGCCTCTCAGACCCAACCAAGTAAACACAGAGACTTATATTGCTTACAAACTGTATGGCCATGGCAGGCTTCTTGCTAACTGTTCTTATATCTTAAATTAATCCATTTCTATAGATCTATACCTTGCCACATGGCCTGTGGCTTACCAGTGTCTTCACATGCAGCTTGTCATGGTGGCAGCTGGCAGTGTCTCTCTGCCTCAGCCTTCTGCTTCCCAGAATTCTCCTCTCTCTTTGTCCCACCTACTTCCTGCCTGGCCACTGGCCAATCAGTGTTTTATTTATTGACCAATCAGAGCAATTTGACATACAGACCATCCCACAGCACATACTTATTTAATTTGTGTTTGTGAGGCATGCATGTAGCATGTACTATGCATGTCTGTGGAGGTCAGAGGATAACTTGAGGAAGTTAGTTCTCCCCTTCTATCAAGTGGGTTCTGGGGATTAAATTTAGGTCATCAGTCTTGGCAGCAAGGGTCATTCCCCTCTAAGCCATGTCACTGGCCCTTTTGTTTATTTTTGACTTTTTTTTCCCCTTTGAGACAGGGCCTTATGATATAGCCCTGGCTAACCTGGAACTCATTATATAGAGTAGGCTGGCCTAGAACTCAGAGATCTGCTTGCCTGTTCCTCCTGAGTGCTAGGATTAAAGGCATATACTACCATGCTTAGCCCTTTTGTTTTTATTAATTATGCCGGGTGTTGTAGGGTAGTATGCTGTTTTAATTTTAGCATTTGAAAATTACTCATAATATATATTATTTCTTTTGTCTGGAAAATGAAATAAAACAACAGGGACAGTGCTGCTAGTATTCTGTTTGGACTAGTCTTTTTAAAAATGAAAATATTTATTCATTTATCTATCTACCTACCTACCTATCTATCTATCTATCTATCTATCTATCTATCTATCTATCTAGCTATCTATCATCTATCAGTGTTCTGCCTATTTGTATGTATGCATACCACATGCATGCCTGGTGCCCTCGGTGGTCAGAAGAGGAGGTTCCCCTGTGTAGTGGTATTTGCTCTGCCCATGACCTTGAGCTGTAGGGCCCAAAGGAGGCGGTGCTTCTTGCTGTTGTGACCTCTTAAAAGGAAAGAGAAAAGGGTCACATGTCCCTTCTCCCTATTGCCTGCAAGGTAGATTTGCTCCCAGTCAGATCAGACTTCAGCTGTCTACTCTGTTCTGTGTTTGTGAGTGTATTTCTTCAATTTATATCTTAATAAATCCCTATTACTTATTAAATAGATTCACGTGGATTGATCTTAATAGGATCTGGAACTGGAGTCACAGATGGTTGTAAGCCACTGTGTTGGTGATGGAAACCAAACCCTGGGTCCTCTTCGAGAGCAGTAAATTCTCTTAACCACTGAGCCATCTCTGCAGCTCCTAATCTTTTCTTTTTTTGTAACACTTTTCATTGTCCTTACTTTTGAGGAATTTTCCTATTACTTGGGCTTTATATATGTAGTACAGCATGGACCAGAGTACCTGCCTTTATAGTGCTTGCATTGTTAGGGGAGATAGATAAGAAATGGATTAAAACAAAACAAAACAAAAACCTCAATGAGCAGGATTGTTTCATTTTTGAAAAAATAAAGCAGGAGCAGAATGGAAAGTGATATTGCACATATTTTCATAACTTTGCATAAGGAATGCTGAAAGCTTGAACCATATTTGACAGCATCCAGTGCTGCCAGCCTGGCTTCTTTCTCCAGGGACAGCCTATGACGTATAACCCGCACTCCACTGAGTAAAAGGTCTGTGCTGGAGAGATAAGGATGAAGGATAACTACTGGTGATGGAGTGCAGTGTCCAAATGCTTGATTTGCATTATTTATCTGCTGTTAGAGGTCATATATATTACACTATTGTTAATCCCACTGGAATAGAAAAGACCATTACCACATTTCTTGATCCAAATTTGAAGTAAACTTTATTAAATACTGACCAGGACTATGGACACTGGTCAGGTCCATATCCAATAATTCCAGTGTTTACATGGGCAAAGCCTATAAGGCTCCATACTTCCTGACTTTGTCCAATCGGGTGCAAGCATACATTCTGACATACTTCCTGCCTAAGTACGTCTCAAGTACATGTCGAGATCAAACACATCTTGTGCAGTTGGGGCAGCCAACATTGTTTATGGAAGTGAAAACATATGGCTTGTTATCTTACATCAACAACAGCCCCCAGCATTCCAGGAAGTTACCTATTCTTGGACAAGTGGGGACTTACAGGTTAGAGGCATTTTTTTTTGTTTTATAGATCTCTTAAGCACAGTTATTAAAACTTAAAACATAACTTAAGCTCTCACACTATCCCCAAAAGTTTTTGTTTGGATTGAGAAGACCAAAAATCAGAGAACTTGACCTATTGAAGGTTACCTTAACTGTCATCCTTTGTTACTTAACTGGTTTATATAAAAGCATTCTTTATTATGTAATATCTACTTCTGTGACCAACTTGTTGTTGTCTTTTTAAATGACTATTTTATTATTTTATGCATATAGTTTTTTTTGCCTGCAGGTATATTTGGATACCACATGTGTGCCTGCTGCCTGAGGAGGCTGGAAGAGGGTGTTGGATCCCCTGGGACTGGAGTTGTAGACAGCTGTGAGCCTCCTTGTAGTTTCTAGGAATCAACCTTTTTCCTCCACAAGAGCAGCCAGTGCTCTTAACTGCTGAGCCAACTCTCCAGCCTCTTTTGTGTTTTAAAAATTAACCAAGATGTGGTAGTACATGCCCTTAATCCCAGCATTCAGGAGTCAGAGGCATAGCTCTTGTGAGTTTGAGGACAGCCAGAGTTCCATAGTGAACCTGGTCTCAAACAAACAGACAGACAGACAAATCCCCAAACAAACCACCACCACCATCAAAATAAAATTATCAGCCAGGTGGTGGTGGTGCACACCTTTAATCCCAGCACTCGGGAGGCAGAGGCAGGCAGATCTCTGATTTCGAGACCAGCCTGGTCTACAGAGCGAGATCCAAGACAGGCACCAAAACTATACAGAGAAACCCTGTCTTGAACGCCCCCCCCCCAAAGAAAAATTTTCTAAATCTGTCATCTGTTATCCATCCATCCATCCATCTATCTCACCGTTTATTTGAGGAAGTCTAAACTTTTTTAGATACATACATAAGAAGTAGGTATTTTCTCATTGAACCTGGAGGTTGCTGATTGAGCTTGACTGAATGGCCAGCGAGCACAGAGATCTTCCTGTCTTTGCCTTCCTGTGCTGGAATTACATGTTTGTACTATAGCACCCAGCTTGTATGTGGGTCCTGGGAATTTAATTTATATCCTCATGCTTTCATGGCAAGTACTTTATTGGCTGAGCCACCTCCTTAGCCCCTTTACATTTTTTTATTCTCTGCCTTGTTCATACTTACCACTGAACTGTATTCTCTGTCCTACTTTTTTTTGGGGCGGGGGGGATCGTGGTTATTTCTGTTTTTTGAGACAAGGTCTCTATGTATTCCTAGCTAACCTGGCACTTACTGTAGATCTGGCTGGCTTTGAATTGCCTGGCTATTCCTTTTGATTGCTGGGATTAAAGGAGTGCACCACTATGCCCAGCCTCTAGCCCTATTTTTTAAAGTGATACATAGAACAAAAAATTTTATGAGTTCTATTTGGTGTTTCAAAGCATGTGTATATTATGTAGTATTTAAATATGAATAAACATGCTTATTTCTTGTGTGTGTGCTCATGTGAGAGAAAAGCATTCAGAATCTTTTGAAGATTTTTTTTTACTTATATGGAAGTATGTGTGTCTGTGTGAGTGGATGTCACATGTGCACAGATGCCAGTGAGTCTAGAAGAGGGTTTCAGATCCCCTGGAGCCGGCGTTTCAAGTAATTGTTAGCTGGCTGACTTGTGTGTGTTGGGGGGGGGGGGCGGCTGGTAACTGCATATGAGTGCCAGTGCCCACAGAGGCCAGAAGAAAGCATTGAGTCTCCTGGCGCTGGAGTTACAGGTGGTTGTTTGCTGCCTGATGTAGATACTGGGAACTAAACTTAGGTCCTCTGTAATAGCAGTGTGCTCTTAAACCCTATCTAATCTAGCCTCTTCACTTAATTTTTGAGGTAGAGTCTCTCACTGAATTTGGAGCTTATTGATTAGGCTAGGCTGTCTGGCCAGTGAGCTTCAGGGATCATGCTGTGAGGACAGGGAGACATCAGTGCTGGGATTCCAAACTTGGTCGTCATGCTTGTATAGCAGACACTTTCACTGTCTGAGCCATGTCCCCAGTGCCAACATGTCTTATTCTGAGCTGAATATGAGTGACTGAGGCCCAGGAATATGGATTTAAGTTGTACCCAGTAACATGTTTCAACATGCAAGTGGTTTCATGTTAAGATTAACGATTCTATGAGGTTGATGGACAGAGTAAACATTGTGATTGTAGAGTATTGGGATGTTGCAGGTGAAGAACTGTGTATGAGAGGGTGAGTATTCCATGGTTCATGCATGGCAACAGAAAACTTTGTGGCTTTGGTTTTCTCTTTCCACCTCTTCGTGTGTTCCCAGGATTGACCTTAGGTTACCAGGCTTATGTGGCAAGTGCTTTTGCCCACTGAACCATCTCACTGAAAACCTTTTTAAAATGTTACTTTGGAGACTTAATTTAGAGCAACTCCTTCAATACATAAATAATGGAATGATTACATATCTACCTG